GAAACCGTAAGGAATAGAAGGAAAATTGTTGCAGGCAGACAGAATAGCCTTGCAAAATTCACATACACACACACACACACACACACACACACACACACCATTTAAAAGCTTTCAGTGGCTCCCAATCATGTTTAGAAATGATAATCTCAATCTAAATCTAATAATCATTCCATTAAAAAGTCCTTTACTAATTGGCTAATAGAAGGGGTGGGATGCTGATATTTTCATTATCAGACACCTTAAGGCTTTTGTCTGTTTGGGTATTTTTAAATTCAACACTCCCATGTTCTGTGAGATAAATGCCATTATTGCCCTTATTTCAGAATGGAGGAAATGGAGGCTCAAAGAGGTGAAATGAACTGCCTAAAGTCACATTGCTGTTAAACGATTTAAAGAGAAATTCAGAGAAAAGGCAAAAACTAACGGAGGAAAAAGAAAGGAGACAGATTCTAATAGATGACAAAACCAACTGAAGCTCAAGATAGGAAATTAAATGGAATGTATGAATGTAAGTTTAAAATGCTCTATTTTTCTTCACAAAGAATTGAGGAAGTTCTGAGGAAATGAGACCCACTCTACATTACCAAGAAAGAGCCCCATCTGGCTCTCATTTTTCTTGCTGCTTCTGGGCTCCCAGTGCTGAGGGGACTATCCACAATTAGTGCGGCACTGAGAAGCCCATTGCCCAAAACTAGAAGACAAATGGAAACAGTCCTGGCTGTCAATGGGAAAGAACCAACCAACCACTGGATCTATGGCTACAACAGTGCTTGTGGGAATAAACACAATACAGAGATAACCAGCCGTCAAGTTTCAATGTGCTTTTGCTAAGGGTAGTCCTCTAGCTTACCATCTTGGGGAAGCGACCTCTGTCCCCATTATGTCTCATTCTTAAATCTACCAACAATGGCTTGTTGGTAATTCCATCTATTATCACTGTAATTTCCAATTAACACAAGTGACTGAGATACAGAATGTAGTTTTACTTATTTTATTATCTATCCCTTTTTATCTCTATACCTCACTCCTACTTCTCTACCTTCCTATGTGCAACCTTTTATGTGAAGTATATAGGAATATATATCTGAATATGTTAATAAGTGTTGCTGTTTTATGGGCATGTATTTAATGTGTGTAAATGGTATTAAATCACATCTCTCATTATTTCTATGCCATATCTTACCCTGTTTTAAAGATCTCATTCATGCTTCATTATGTACATGAAATCCATTGCTTTTTATTACTGCATAATACCCCATTATGAACATCCAGATTGCCACTAACACCACAGAATTATGGCCATAACCATTATGGCTTTCTGTGAGAAACTCCTTGGACTATGTATGTCCAGGGGTGGGTGCTGCTGAGACAGAGGGTGTGTGTATACATAATTTAGCCAAGCGGTACCCAACTGCTCTTCATAATGAGGGTCTCGATCTGAGGGGTGGGTTCCAGAGTAGAAGCCAGAGTGTGAATCATGGCTACTCTACTTGTTAGCTTGTGTGACCTAAGAATATTATCTAACATCTCTTAGCCCCATTTTCTCATTTATAAAGGATAAACAAGTGATGGAAGGAAATCTAGCTTTGGTGATGAACACACAATATAACATATATATGAAATTATTGAATTATATACACTTGAAACTTATTTGATTTGATTAATCAATATCACCCTAATAATTTTTAATTTAAAAAAAGTTTAAAAATAAATATAATAAAGTGTGAACAATTACAGTGCCTATCTCATAAAGTTACTATGGTAATTAAATGAGATAATAATAGATTAAAATGCTTAGCGCGATATTTGGCACATGGTAAGAAAATAAATATCATTGCTGATTATCTTTTTGTTTTTTTCCTACCCAGTAAGAGATTTTGGATTTTCCAATAGACTCTGAATCTTCACACTGGAAAGTCAGTAAGAGCTCATCCTCCACACTGCAGAGTAGAGAGATGAAGTTTCCTACCTGAGCAGATCACGTGTTATCAGAGGAGGAATTTGAACGCAGCTTTCTGGGTGCCCGGGCTAGCGCTCCTACCCCCCACACCAGAATATTTGTGCCCGTGTGGGGATTGCACATAAGCAAAAATGCATAATAACTAGAAAACAAAACCTGCCCATTGGTATCTGCTCACACATGGCACTCTATGGAACTTATATACTTCCACTCAGTATGTCATGAGCTTTTGAGAATTTTTTCAAGTTGTGGTGATGGATTTGTTCTCACTTCCTTGCACACACACACTGTCTGAGAGCCACACACTCTTGCAGCTATGGAGTTTGGAGAAGGTGACTAAATCACATGGGGTCAGCCTACTCCCAAGGCCAGCAAAATCAGTGTTATTCCTTGATAATTTTGTAAAGGAGGCAGCCGTAGAGGTATACCACTGAGAAAGTCCTCTGAGAAAGAACCAGCCATTTGTCTGTAAGGAGTACAGTTGGCTGACAGCCTCCAGCTGCAGTGCTTTCAAGCATCTGTCGCAGCTTTGCAGCCAAGTCTATGAGTTTATAAATAACCAACAGCCAATGACCGAGCACAGTGGGAATACTAGGACCTAGCCACTTTATCACCATATGGGACTCCTCCGATGGGCAACCTTTGCCCAGAGCTCTCCATGGGGTGGGCCAAGATTTTGTCAGATTTGCATCCTGGTCCGAGGCTCTTCCTATCCAATTCTACTTCCTCACCCTTTTATCTTTCATAGCATTATCCCCAATAAACCTTCTGCACCCCTGATTCCATCTCAGTGTCTATTTCCAGAAGGGCCCACTGACACAGTAAAGAAAAAACTACACCTATTTATACAGTGGTCTACATTAACATGTGATAATCTGGCTTTAGGAAATGTATTGCTCTGCTCTGTAATGATGCATGAATGAATGAGTTTTGAACTATGCATCGAGGCAAAGGCAGCATCTTTGCCACCACAGAGGTCTTTAAAACAGTTGATGAGTACCAGTCTATAGTATCTATTTTGTGATGTGAGTTAATGTTTATCAAATATTAACAATTATTCTATGCAAGCTAATTCTGCTTGGATGTGTACTCTTTGTTGTTCTATCAATATATTTAATTTTTTTTTATATGTATATATTAGCTGGCAATGAAGATGAAGAAACTGAAGATCAGAGAAGGTGTCAGTGTGTCATTGTAAATCAATTTAACTTTCAGATTTTGTTTAAAGTGCCAAACATGTAATATATTATTATAAACTGTCATTTCTTATCATTCTTAATCTATAAACATAAATAGAAGTCATTTTAAAGCAATGAGTCTCAACCAGAGGCAATATTGCCTCCCAAGAAACATTTGGCCATATCTATAGACATTTTTGGTTGTTACAACTGGGCAGGGGTGGCAGAGGCAATGGTGGGGGGAAGGGTGCAAATGGCATCTAGTGGAAAGAGGACAGGGTTGTTGCTCAATATCCTACAATTTATAAGACAATCCCACAACAAAGAATTATATGGCCCAAAATGTCAATAGTACCTTGGTTTAAAATTGTAGAAAATAATGTTCAATGACCTAATTGTTTTATTGAAAGCTAAAAGTAAAGGAGATATTCTGCTTATAATCCCATGGTGATTTTTTGTTGTTGCACTAATCAGTATCTTTCCATTTCCTTAGAAAAAGTAATCTAGAACATTGAGTAAAATAAATGGTTAATTTGCCCCCAAACAGGATTTTTAAGTATATTATTCAAATATCTTATGAGATAGAAATACAAGAATTACATTAGAGATCACCAGAGTTCTGTAACTGTCACCAAATTCTTTTGAGTTTCGTCCCATTCAGTCATATTCCTTCATGCTGGTAAAATATTTTTAAGTGTGAGCATACCCTATTCTTAAGCGCCCATTGCTAATCTTTTAGTCAGTTATAACACACGTACTGTTTGATTTTTTTAAAACAGAATAAGTTTACGTGAAACATCCTGGTCGTGTTAGGTAAAGCCCAATATTTAGCAGACCATTTCCTTTAATTTAGGTCTTTATGTGATTAAAAAACTATCGCACTTTTAGAACGACCGAAATTTAAATTGATCATATGAAAGCCAAGAACATAGTATTAAGTTTAGATAGTATCAGTACATACATCAATGCCTAATTTTCTCACGATGAAAGAACTTAAAAAAAAAAAATCAGACTTCATTTGACGGTCAAGGTGCGCCCCCTGCCGAACAGAAGGGAGAAATAATGTTGATTCAGTCTAAATTCACAGGGCTCTTAAAACTGAATTACACCCACCAACACATCTCTTTCTAGTTCATCTGAAGAGATGTGTACAAACTCTACACTTTATTTTACACACACACACAAAAATGTGTGGATGAATTGTGACCTACACATTTAAGAAGCTCAATTGCGAAAGATTCCCCAGAAAATCTCTAAACGACATTAGCAGTACGAAATGACAACTGCCACGTATTCTTAACGTTAACAACAGAGCTATATTTAACACAATTTTTCTTTCCATCTAGTCTCTTTGCTTTGGTGATATCAAGGAGAGTCGGTTATCCTTTCAGACAGTGGTCACAATCGATCCTAGAAGTTTAAGTTCTCATAAGTGACGGTAAATTGCCAGCAGACAAAAATAATTTGGATTAATTAAATGGCACCAAGAAATCTAAGAGTTGAAGAATTAAGTTCCTTCCCCTCCCAGCCTTACCCTCCTGATCCAGAACCTCGTTGCTTCTAAATATCGTCTTACTTTGCAGATACCAAGATGCTGATCTGAACAGTGCCTGCCCCAGGACATCGCTTACCTAAAGCACATCTTTGCAGCTCCACTAAATGTCTGTCAAACCCTGCCAGGTGCACACGTGTGTGTGTGTGTGTGTGTGTGTGTGTGTGTGTGTGTGTGTGTGTGTGTGTGTGTGTTAGTGCGTGGATGTGTTAGCGAAGCGTCCGCACGCCTTGGTCTCATCTCGGTCTCCCTCGCGCCGTGTCCGGCTGGAGGTTCGGGGAAGCAGGTGCCGTGGGGCTCGGCTTCTTACCTGGGCTCCGACGAGGAGGCAACTGCCGAACAGCAGCCACCCCCAGGCGTGAGGCGACACCCTCGCCCCTGCCATGCCGCGACCAGCTGTAGCGAGAAGCAGGGGACGCTCGGGAGAATCGTCGCACGCGCAACTTGGAGGGCGCGGGGCAAACTTGTGGCGGGAAGCGCGGTGCAGCTGGGGCGACGGGGCCTGGGGCCACCCGGCTGGGGATGCCCGGAGCCGGGCTGCCGACGCCCGCGCGCCTCGGATGCGGGTCCTGATACACAGTGTCTCGCCGCTTGGTCCGGTTTTCAGGGGAGAACTGTTCGCGTCCCGGCCTTGACTCACTGCTCCCGCGACCCCTGCCGGAGAGGGGCAGTCCCCGCGCCCCCTGCAAGAGCGGCGAGGAGGCAGTCGTGCTTTTCTCGGAGTCACTGCGTCCTGAAGCCCAGGGGACCCGAGGGCGACGGAGCCAGATCGCTGCTGTCGCCACTCTCGACTTGCACAGTCTTTGCTTCCCTCCAGTCTGTTTGTCTCTAGGGGCGCCCTTGGTCTTCCGGGAGTAGTCCAAAAGTTCCCTACTGTCCAGACACGAGCCGACTGCCAGCCCCGGAGGCAGTGGACCTTGTGGTTAAAGGTTTCCGCTGCCAGGCGTTCTGCATCTGTGACTGTGTGCCCAGGAGAGCCCTCTGTAAAGTTCTCTGATTGCTTTTCTCCTAACCATAATAATACGAGTCTGTGTGTGCTCGCGTGCGTGTGTGTGTGTGTGTGTGTGAGAGAGAGAGAGAGAGAGAGAGAGAGAGAGAGAGAGAGAGAGAGAGAATCCACCAGAAATCCAGAAATCTCTGGGTCAAAATTCTTTGTATCATTTTGTGAGTTTTGGATCTAAGCATTATAGAAAGACAATTAATATTCCTTAATAATGTTTTTGTGTAAACACCTTTATTAGGGGCAAAGCCTGTTCCTTTATTTTTCTTAGAAGCATAATCATCTAGATGCCAGAGACCTTGCTTTACAGATATTGAGTTGAAGAATATTTGGTCTCCCGGATCCAACACAGCTAGGAAGGAATAATTCCCATGGGTGAGGCGCAATAATTCCCTGATCTCCTCTTGACAATGAAGATCTGAGATTTGTCACCTCTGGCTTTCATTTGCTTGCCAAAGTGAAAATTGAGTTTTCTTTTAAAATGTGGATTATTAATGGCTGGCTAGCTCTAAAACACCAGAAAGAGATGTCTATTTCTCTTTCTACATGTCTGAAAATGTCCACGCCTATCTCTACTCTAATAGTGTTGTTTATATTATGTATTGTATATATTGTAAACAATCTCATTCTTTTTGGAAGTAGCAAGATCTAAATTATATAACATACACTCATAGGCATACACCTGCAAAATTACCAAATAAAGTTCACTTTCCACTTACCTATCAAAAATGTAAGGTTTTGTGGGCTTTGTGTGTATGTGCGCTCTTTTCAAAATAGAACTCTCTATAGTCTCTATTACCTAAAATCTTCAGTTTGATTAAATTAGAATTATTACCTATTACATTATCCTACTCAAGCAAGAAAAAAATGATACTAATAATAATACTGACAGATTACATTTATTTGGTGCTTTACTACATTCAGTTTCTGTTCCAAGTACTTTACATAAAATTAATCTTTACATTAACTTGTGAGATAGGCATTATTATTATATTTATAGATGAGGAAATAAACACTAAGTCATTTGCCTAAGGTCTAGATATTCTATCATTATGACACTACTTATCCTCTGTTCTCCTATTTTTACAATAGTATTATTACAATTTTTTTTTATATTTCTTAGGCCTCACAAAACCAGAAACACTTTTCCAGCTTGTTTTTCCTTTTATTTCTTTGTCCCCCCTCTCAAAACTCAAGAATAATTTATTGTTCATTACAGCAGTGGTTTTGAGCCAGGGACAATTTTGTTCCCCAGAGGACATCTGACAATGTCTGGAGACATTTTTGATTGTATCACATTCTGGTTGTGTCACACTACATGTTAGCAGGTAGAGGCCAGGGGTGCTGCTAAACCTACAATTCACAGGACAGCTTCTCAAGACAGAGAAATCTCTGTCCCACAATGTCAAGTGACAAAGTTGAGAAACCCTGCACTACAAAAGTGTACCCTAAATTGTGAGATGTTTATTAACTACTCATTCAATAAAACCAGGTAAGCCTATATGCTGGCACTTAAATCAATTTTAGTAAAACTTGTTATCCAGGTGGTCCATTCATACAAATGGTTTTAAATCCATAGGCTCCAGACTGAAAGTATTCAAAGCTTTGAGGATATTACACTATGGTAAATGAAAAATATTAGGTAAAGTTAAAAAATAATACACAAATTGCTGTGATATCATCAGGATATTTGTGACCTTTGCCATAAAATATATAATTGCTGTTTTGGGGTAAATTTGGAATAATTGGTTAACATTATTTACAAACTGATAACTTAAAAACCTTTGTGCAAAGCTACCTGCCAAATCTCTGCAAATGACATCATATCAATACTTAAAATCAGTGAAAGACAGGTGACAGTTCCGATCATCCCCATCAACAAATAAAAAACAGGACCTTAATGATAAAGGGACTCAATCCAAACAAATCATAGTCCCAAAGTAATCATGGTTATTTCAGGCAAAGTTTTAGTTTTTTCTGTGGTCTATTTATTTGTTAGTTTTTGTCTTGTATAGGTCCACTATGTCACATATGGACCACCTGCATCTCAATCGGCTAATATGCTTGTTAAAATGCACATTCGTGGGCTTTTCCTCAGACCTGCTGAATCCCAAACTCCAGTTCCTGGGATTCAGGAATCTGCATTTGAACAAGCTCCTGAGTGATTCTCTTAAGAAAAAGTTTGAGCACTACTGTCTAGACTGATTGGTACATGCAGCTAATGTGGACTTCACAGGCAGTTGTAAGGTCTGTTAGCTCAATACTTCTCCATGAAGAGTCATTATTCTCAGCAATGAAGGAACAGGAATGGTGGGTCAGCATTCAGCCTACTTTCTAAGGTGGAGATATTGGGACAAGCAGGCTGTTAGCTTGACTCCTCCGAATTGCAGATGGATGGCTTCATTTTGCAGAGGGCAGCTTTTGTATTTGTTGCTTTTCCATCTCTGAGGATAGGTATCTTTCCTTGTTTTAATATTGTACTTCTTTCTTTGTATCAATTGGGAAGGACTGAAGGATCTGACACTCTGCTCTGTTTCTTTCTCAGGTTCCAGTATTCCTTCTTGAGCTTCTGTTGAGCAGACCACCCACTGTATGTAGATATGAATTTGGAGGGCTTTATTCTGGGAGCAAAGATCCCCGCACTCAGCTGCTCTGTATTTAGGGGAAAGGCAACTGAAATGCTAACATCAATTAATTAATTTAAGGTTAATTAGTTAATCATCAATGTAATTTAATTACCTGGATGATTTATCTAAGTCTTTTCAAACTTTCTGATCCCAAGCTTGGGTATGATTGTTGCTGCATGTTTCTATGTGTGTGTATGTATCTGTGAGTGTGTGCGTATCTGTGTGTTTGTGAGTCTGTGTCTCTGTGTGTATATCTGTGAGTGTGTCTATATCTTTTTGTGTTTTCAATTATATCATTCTAGGAATTTCTGAAAAATTTTATCTACCATTCTCTCTTGGATATTTCCCAATATGATGCAGTTTGAGTCTTAAAAATATATATACATTTTCTCTAATTTCAATGGGGCTTTAAACAGGAAGTAGAAACAAATGTATGCTCTAAGTCCATCATCTGTTTCTGGAAACCCAAGCTAAAATGCATATTTTAAAATTCTTAGTCATGCTTTGTATTATAATACATGCTTCAAGAAAAATTTTTGAAAATGCATAAAATAACAAAGAGGAGAATAAAAATAGCCAAAAATTTTTTACCTAATCTTTTGTCCACTCATAATTATTTTAAGGTGGAATTGGCCTTGTACTGTACATAAAATATTTTGAATAATGAGGAACAAACAGATTTGATAAGAGTGTTAGGCTGGATTGGCTTTATTATTTAATATTCTATATTTCCTATATGTTCGTTATGTGATAAGATATGAAGGCACAAAAAATCACTGTGATGACTTTTCTTAAATGTATGTTTTTATGTAAATCATTGAATATTGTCTTAAAATAAGTTTCTTAAATTAAAATTTTTGTTAAAAATACATGTTGGTTTGCAACCTCGGGAGTTCCCCAAGTGAAATCTAAAACTGGCCCCCATATAGTTTTTTTTTACCTTTTATGTATCTAAATCATTTATAGTTTCTGCCTTAGGTTTTAGGCCAAGAAAGGAATTGCATTCTAAAAATTAGACTATCTTTCATCAAAATTTTTCTTAGTTTTTTTTACTGTTTCAAAATTTTGCATTTAACACTTTAAAGTATTGATTTTGTAATGGTGTTTTAACAGTTTTATCAAGTTCCTAACCAGTTACAGCATCATTTATTAAAGAATCTATTTTTTTAATGAGGAAGATATTTTGAAGGAAGGTAGAGGATAAAAGTTTGCTGATGGCTCTAAAATCATGTCAGCTCCACATAAGTTTGCTGTGCTAGAAGAGGTTTAGAAATTAAAGCAGAGTTTGCAGATGGTTTAATAGAACATCTGTCCATTTTATCCAGGGTGAAATCTCATTCATTAAACCCAGATGTCAAAGGCCCCTAGCAAACAGTTGGCAATATTTCTTCTGACTATCTGACTGTTAGATTTGGAAAGCTGTATGCAATTAGGCTTTCTGGCTGGAAGTAGGATGATAGCAGGAAAAAGTCTGGTCATTTAAACACAGGTATCAGCCAGGTACCTCAGAAGGGAAAACGTGCTCCACAAATACAGGGTGTTTGTCTAGACTTCAAACTGATGTGCAGTGACTCATATGCAAGTGGCTTCCTGTCTGTCTAATCTGAGAAGGTTGTTATTAATAATAACGACCTGCTTCGCAGTGTTTGTGTGAGAATTAAATGAGATAATGACAACATCAAAGAAACATTTTGTCAGCTGTACAGAATTACACAAATGACAATAAGTTTGGTAATTACAGAATGCTTTCATATATACTATCACATTCAATGTATAATTGTTAATATG